AGATATGTGTGTATATATATATACTGTATATATAAAAATGTATTCATATCGATATATTGAATATTATCATCAACCATTTTGGGTGTCAAACACTGCTCCACAAAGTAGACAAGGTTTGGAAGACATCTTGTGAATCTTGGATGTGCTGCAACCAAAGTGAGTGGGAACTTACGAGGACCCGGCCCGCCCTTTGACACATTCATTTCCGCATTGCAACAAGTCATCAAATCTGTGAGTGCCCCCACGTCCATTCTTGTCCATTCTTCAATGCAGAGCTTCAGAAAATGTGGGCCTTCAATTCATCTACATCATGGCGAGCCAACAGGATAGCATCTGGATGTACAATTTCACGTACTGTCTGCATGGGTATATTAATATAGCCATAAAATGCAACAACGATATATAGAGGTTACGTTCCAACTCCTTGGGGTGAAATAATCATTGAGTTACTGTATATTCTTTGGCATTTGACTTAACATAGCTATGGAAATCCACTGGTTTCCTTGACCAGACTCGCCATTTCCCTAGGCTATGGCCGTGGGTCTAGGGCTTCCGGAGCACTTCTTCGATTCAGTGACGGATCGCAGTTTCTGGTGCGTGCGGGTCATCGGATATCCCGCCCTGCACCGGGAGCAGCTGAACCTCTCCTGCGGGGAGCACACGGACTACGGCTGCTGGACCATCCTGGCCCAGGCGAAGTCCTGGGTAAGTTATAACGACCTCACTGTTCTCTGGAATCATGGTGAATGTACAGGGGAATGATCCCAATATCGCCTCATTTCAGGTTTGTGAATTCTAGATAGTTATTATTATTTACCCAGATCTTCCCGGATCTTTGTGAAGCTGTTGAGGATACGGTGATTTTATGGTGATTTTCCATGTGTTCTTTACCAATGGATCAGCTGTGAGGATGAGACGCCCGACGCCTTGGAAGTCCAGCTGCCAGGTGGTCACTGGGAGAAGGTACAGCCCAGACCTGGGGCCTTCGTAGTGAACCTTGGGGATATGCTCAGCGCCTTGCCTTGGGAAATCCCCAAACTGCCAAGGAGGTTGCTGGGAAACCATCGAACTGATGGATTTTCCATTGCCATGATTGTTTCCCACTCCTTTCCTTCTTTTCCTGTTGCAGGAAACCAAGGGCTTCACCCCCAAGTTTATATGGGGTTACGTGTGAATTTTCCCTTCGACCAATAGTGGTTCTCAGAGTTTCCCGCGGCACCCTGTATTTAATTTTCTGGAGTTCAAGACGAAAGGATGGACGGAAATCCTCTGGAGCAGTCGGCTTCTCACGAAAAATGCTGGTGAACCAGAAGATATCAGCATGGCTGCGGAAAACCGGTAGATTACTGTATCACTTGAAATCTTATATATATATATAATACACACATATATAATATATATATAATTATATATATGTATTTGTGAATGATTTTCCAGTGGACAATGGGGATTTCATCGAATGCTTCCTTCCCAAAATGCAGTGTGTGAGATCAGCCGCTCCAGGTGTTTGGACCCAGGGGCGCTACGTGGCCACCCGGCACAGGGTGCGGCAGACCGCGGGGGACTACAGGACGGAGCTGTTGCCTACCCTCTTGGTGTTTTTTTGAATTTCCACATGGTTCTCCTTGGTTGTGGCTTCAGGGATGTCATGGCGCCTGGGTTCTTTTGGGATTCTGAAGGGTTGGGTTTGGAACCTGCAAGGACCTCCATTGCGTTTTTCTACGAGCCAAACTTTGACGCTGCACCTTGAATGCACTAAACACTGAATGCCTATCCCCACTGAATTCCAGCAAGCACTGCGATTCAAAGCTCACATGGATCTTGCCTGCTCCGGGCTACTACCTTCATGTCATTTACATTTTCCTGATGCTTTTAAACATTCCAAACCCAAAAACCAAGGTGATCCGTCCACTGGATCTGTCGCCCCTCTCTGGGTGGCAAGCCATCGAGCATCGGCCGGTGGCCAGCACTGAGCCGTTGCAAAGGGGCTTGGCGGGACAGGAACTGATTTATGGAGAACATCTCTTTGCGAAGGTCAGTTCCAACTTTGACTTCGAGTGAAAGGTCAGTTGAGAAAACCATCAGAAAATTGGAAAAGGATGAGAAGGTAAAACTCTAAACTCTAAACGAATTTCAATAGAAGTTTACTTTCTATCTTTGTGGGGGTTGCTATAGCGAAGAATAGTGAGCAATGAGAGCTGTTTGCCTTCAGCTTCGCTGAAGCCTTCAGACGATTGAGAGAGTGGAAGATCTTAGAAAGATACTTTCGGCCTATATAGTCGAACTAGGTCATATTGGGCCACCCAGCATGTTTGGACCTGCAGTAACTTGGGGGATCCATGGCAGCTTGGCCTTCCCCCAAGTTGCAGCATGGTGGCCTCTCGAAAAAAATGTGCTTCAACAGTTCCAAACGGTTTGTTGAAACATGATCAGATATTGTCAGATAACAGCAGGACAGATATGTCGGTATCTGACGGTACTCTATGTATACTCACAAAAAGGATATCCTTCCGATATCTTCCGATTTTGAGAGCCATCTGCCAGCTAAGCTAGTCGGCCTCTCTGGTGCATGATTTTTGAAAGCCAGGAAGAACTTCTGCAGCTTTGGCCCACATGGTCCAGCTCCAGATTTTTAATGGAGCAGTAGCGACACGAAACCGGCCATTTTCCAACGTCCGAGGTCATTTCGGCACTGTATAGTTTTTTTTTGCGGTTGCGGTGGGTTGTTGTTTGAGGCCAATTTTGCGGCCCCTCCGTGTGCTTTTCCTATCCAAATCCTTCCTGGTAGAGGATCTTGTCCAACAACAACCCATGGCAAAGATTTGGCGGTGCCTAGACCCCGGCGATGAGCCAAGGCAGCGGAAAAGATTGATCATATGACATGGGAACAGATGGGAACTGGGCAAACCAGGCTGGATTTCGGCTGTGACAACCGTCAGGAGGACGAGCCGTTTTCCACAAAGACGATCTCCAACGCGAGCCTCCCGGCAGCATGCAATTTCATCCAATTTCCAGGCATCAAACTTTTCATTTGGCAGCTTCAGAGACCAGGTGGATCATCTTGATCATCCATGAGTGCATTTTTCATTGGGGTCCGCCCGCCGCACCTGAGGCAATGTCGTGAAGTGGGACGAAAAGAAAACGATTAAAATTAAGCGTGGCGCGGCTCGGCTCAGAATGGCCCCACCGCCACACTCCCAGCACCCCCAGGACCACCAGAACCCCATCCACCGGCCGTGCCAAGACAAGCTTGAACTTCAGCATCTGGGACGAAGACTGGGGGAAGAAAGACGACCATCTCGGAGAGTGCACCTTGAAATTCGAGGTGGCGGCTGTCCAGAATGGTTGGAGTGGCGGAACATTGCCAACTTATGCCAACTTCATATCTTCTTTCTGTTGGAATGGGGTGGCCGACTTTACGACTTTGGCAATCGCTTTGACATAGTTGATATATTGTTGACATAGTTTGACATTTTTTTGAAATCCTTTGCCACAACCAGCTCGCAGCGTGACCTTGGAGGACATCTTGGAGAATTTCAATGGCAACATGGCGAGAAGTGATGGGTTGTGTGACCCTGTGCCAATCATGCTTCAAGCTATCCGATTTTTTTGCACGTTAAGGGGCTTGAATTGGATCGCATCAAGCTTCAAGCACGGCCATTTGGGAGATCAACTTTTTCCACTCTCGGTGTGCTTTTAGTGACCCACTGCTGTGAGGCAAGATGGCATTGCTGGAGCAAAGCGGCAAGGCTAGGGGGCTCAGCCGCGACGGCTGCTTGGTAGTCCCTGGTGTACCTGTTGCGTAGTCCATGACGGAATGGCGGGCTAAAAATTCCACATGCCATGGAGCCGCGCTTGAATGGGTTTTTCTTTCATTGACTTAAGAGCATGGCATGTTTCCATCCCTTTTTTTTGGAAATCATGTTGAGTCTTGACTTTCCATCTATGGAGACTTAAGGAGTGGCTGAACCACATGCAGCGTAGTCCTGTGTTGAAGGGCCTTTCGGCTCAAGTCCGCCTCAGCAGCGGCTCCCTCCGCCCTTTGGATGCTTTTGGCAGCCCGGCCATCACCTGCCACTGGGAGTGCAGATGGTTTGGGTGCCATCAGCCATTTGCCCAAACCTTTCACAATGACCCGCCCAAAATGGGGTTAAGATGGTTAATTAAGATTCTTTTCTATTACCAATCTTTCGGGGATTCGGTGTCAACCTTGGTGTTGTGACAGATCCATCTGCCATCATTTGCCCAGCCCAGGTGAGGTTCTGGCGTTTGCTTCCCATCTCCAGGCCATCCTTTGCCAAGCCACAAGCCCCACAGCACCTGTTTCCTGTCACTGCCGGCATTGCTGTAGCGGTCCAGTCCAAGCGCAGGAGTATCGGATGCAGAAAGGATTTGGATAACCTATTGCCTATCAGGCGACCTTGGTTGGATTTTGTTCTTGGGGGAAGATGCCGTCAATTTCATTTTATTGGTGGGATGTCTTGCAGTTTGCAACACTGTGCTTAATTCTGTTGAGCGATTTGTTGTTTTTTTTTTGCGTGAACAGTGTGGTATAGACTGTATAGTTGCCGTACACGGCAATGGCATCTTCCCTTTTTCAAACTGTTTCGCGGAGCTGGCATTTCTTAGCAATGTCGATGCTTATCCTACCTCAGCATGACTGTCGTCATAAGGATGGTACCACCGTCCCAATTGTGGAATTTACCAAAGGTCATCAACCGGATGATCATCACCAGGTTGGCCAGTTTCCAGCCCATTTCCAGCCCATTTCCAGCCCACGTCCTCGCAGTGCGAATTGCGAGAAGCTCAGGATGTCTGCGCCGCGCTTGGGCCTCGGCAGTGCTTCGGAGGTGGAGGCCAGCTACACCTTGGAGGGCGGTTATGGCACTGAAGCCCTGCCCGATGGCACTGGCGCGTGGTTGGCGCACCGGGCGCAGGCCGATGTGCCTGGCAGTGGGCCAGGCGGGAGACATTGAAAGGTTGGGGGAGGCCTACCCCAGAAAAATTTAGGGATGGCAAATTTTGCCTGGATTTTGTGGTTTGAAGATGTTTCAGGACCAGCTTGGGTACCTGATTAATGACACCTAAATCCATGTGCCAAGTATTTGCTGCGTACCTGAAGAGCTCAAAGCGAGAGCCTTCCCACTCCCTTCTCCCTTGCCATCTACCAAAAGGGCTTGACGATGATGACTGCCAGTTGAATAGGGGTCTGTATGCAATCCCAACTTTGACGCGCGCCACGTAGAGTCAACTACACTCAATCGTCCCAGGCATTGGTAGCGGGAGCGACGGAGCCAATTGGTGAGAAATCCCTAAATGACAAACATGCACACGGAGAATTACTAATTAACCGCCACCTTGTCCAAGTCGTCTCAAACGTTTCATGTAAGCCTGATTTCTTGCCCAGCGTTCACGTGGCTCCAACTCAGTGATAGGTTCGAAATGGCAAAGGATATTAAGGTTTTTGGAACATAAGGGCTTGTAGAGGGCAACTGATCCGTTGAGTTGTTGGATGTAAGCCCACACCAGTTTCATCGTCATTTCTTGATTTGGAAGGATAGGTCTGCAAGGGATTCCTGCCACCGGGCTCTTAAAGCCAAGCCGAGAAATCGAAAAGCACTTGTAGGATTTGAATTTGGGAAGAATGTCATTCTGCACCAATGTCGTGACATTTTGCCACAAGTTGCGGAAGCACAGGATTTGCAGTGAAACGGATCTTTTGTTGTCAGGCAGCAACAAGGCCTTAGGATCATCATAATCAATGTACTTGGACTGAGCACCTGCCCCTTCCAACTTGATTGGACAACGAAATCCCGTTGTCAGAAAGAAAGAAAAAAGGAGTTCCAACCACGAAACTCCCCAATCACCTGTCGTCTTCATGTCATAGTCAGATTGCAGTTCAGCTGGCCAACGTAGTAACCTACCCCATAATAACAACGCTTTCGCAATGTTTGCCCCCTGTAGACAAGCGTGCAAAGCATCATCATCAACATCAAAAAGCGGTAGAGGTACATACGACTCCTGTGCAAATTTCATCAGGGCCTCACATGCTTCAGCACCCATTAAAAGTCCATCAAAGAGGCCTTCATTTCCCATTCTCACAGCTCTTGGTCTGATCAAAGAATGTTGAGTGGAATCTTTCTTTTTTTCCCCAAGGAGAAGACATCTCGCTTTGTTGAAATCTGCCAAAAAATTCAAATGATCATCCAGCATTTTCCTCTCCTCATCAATGTGAAGCACAATCTTGTCTGCCAGCTTACGCACTTCGGATGGTATTGCCTCATATGCTAATCCAGCAGCAGCGTCTGCACACATGTTACCTGCAATGTACCACAGGTCAAGCACATCTTTAGCTGATTCAAGCGCTCGATGACTTTTGACCTTCGTAATTACAAATCTGTCAGCATGCCACACTTCAGCAAGTTCCTGGATGAGATCACCATTGGAGAACCTGTGCAATACATGTCTGAAGATATCAAGTTCAATGATCCGAATGACTTTGCAAACATAGGATGCATCGGTGACAAACTCCACCTTTGGTATTGGTTCACACAAGTTGACCTGCTTTGCAGCATGCAAAATCGCAAAAAGTTCTGCTCTCGCCACTGTCTGTTCACCAGGAACAATTCCGACTGCCGTAACATGAAACATCGGGAACTGCGGGGGAATCAGGAATAGGAAATCAGCTGCTTGTTTGATTTGTGATTCATTCAATGAGACATCTTGCACAACTGCCCAAGTAGCAATACGAGCATTCCAGTGTCGTGGATATTTCGCACCACCATCTGTGAAAAATCTCATATGTGGGATGTCACAGTTTCTCGGAGGAATCACTTCCGGTGCTTTGACCGAATTCACAAATGCACGAAAAACTGTAAGTTCATCATGACAGCGTGGAATTGGCAGAAAAATCCACTCTTTCCGAACGTTATGCAACGTCCTGCAAGCTTCTTGTGCATTATCGCGGACAGCCTGTAAGGGGGCACATTCAAGTAACCGGTGTTCCCTAGTGTCAGAAGCGCCACACAGCTCACATTCATCGACTGCGTCTTCATCCCACTTGGCTTTTAGTGCAGCCGTCTGGAAAGCTCCAACCACATTCAGTTTCAGGATTTGCTGTTTCTCTTGAGGTAATTTCTGAAACACCGAATGGAACAACGCAACATCCGGTAGAAAGTCACCAACCCCTTTCCTATCCATCATGTTCAGAATGTGGTGGGACCACATAAGCTTGGCAAGTTTCGTGATTCTCCTGCAGGAATCAATAAAAACATTGAATTGCAAATGATCAGGTCCAGTGACAGTTCCATCAAGTTGCAAATTCCAACCAAGCTGTTTGAGGTATTGTCTCAAGGCAGTTGCGGGACCAAAAGGACGTGATCCTTCCCACTCTAAAGCGTCAGCAACTGTTTCACTCGCCAATTCGGGTCTGACAGAGGCTAACCTTCTTACAATTCTCAGGCATTGCAATACCGTATGAAGAAACGGGTCACAGAGATGTTTTGAAAGGAAAGTGCAGGCAACGACAGGAGACGCATTATGCCATTTACCTACAAGGCAAGTGAGAGCAGCACGCCTCAAGGCCGTGTAGTGCTGCATACCAATGTAAGTCGTGTCAGAGCTATACAGGGCTAAGGGCCAAACACAGGATTGCAACATCCTAGCCTTAACCTGCATAGTGGCAGGTAACCATTCCAATCTGTGCATTCTGGTCACTGCTTCATCGATCTTTTCTTTTATGAAACCCAAAGAGACACTCTTGTCATAACTGACTTTTTCGCCAAGATCTTTGACCGAAGATTTCACTATGACAGGAACATCAGCCGTTGGATGAAAAAGGGCACAGTTTTCACAGGCTTCACGAAAGTCTTTTTTGGTGCCCCAATGCCAACTCTTGGAGTGATCGATGGACAACCTCATCACACTAGTCAACCTCAGGACCTGTTGGTAGGCAGCAAAGTGACATCTTTGTCGAGAGGACATCCAACTCCAATTGTCTGCGTAGGCAAAAGGTCGGACAAATTCTGTTTTGAGCCATGCATGGTACATACACGATGTGGCAAGCATCGACAGTACACTAATGCTGCAACCCTCGGGAACTCCAGTCGTGGATGCGATACCAAAGGAGACACAGCCCTGAATGGTCGGGTACCTCATCATAACATCAAGACTTCTGATCCAGGCATGTACCCATGGAGCCGGCATGCCAAGGCGGATCATGATGCATCCAATCGGAAATCTACCGAAGGTATTGTAGGCTTTGATCAAATCAAGGGAAAAACCACCCAGGCTGGAACCAGACATGAGGGCTTTCTCAATAGTTCTTTTTTGTAAAAACGCCAGTTCTTTCACCCCACGGCCAGGTAATCCACCGGAGACCTCATAAGGAACAAAAATTTTCCACTGCTGGGCCGTGACTTTGAAAATGAATTTCCCATACAATCTGTACAGGCAACTCAAAATTGTAATGGGTCTTGCATGGTGCATAGACATAGGCAAGGGCACCTTAGAAAGCAAAACAGTCTTGGCCATCATCATGCCACTACTGAAACCAGTCGCGGAGACAGCACTGAAAATCTTTGCTAAATCACGAATGCAGGCCTTCGGAAGGCATTTTAGTTCATCATTTGACCATCCACAAGGGCCAACAGCTTTGGCCGAAGGCAGACTGCGGACAAGTTTCCACCACATGTCAACGTCATCAAAGGGGTAAGAGATCTCTGGTATCACTGGCAAGTTGGCATTGGAGAGCACATCAAGAAAGGGCTGCCAGGTTTCATCTTCAAACTGTTCTGTGCGCTTGTCTCGAAGCCACATGGGTGACCAGAAATCCGCAAACTCATTTGCAATCTCTTGTGAAGTGATGGCAGTAAAGGCAATAGACAGGTTCCCACACGAAGGAAGGGTTCCAGTCAGATGGCGAAAAAAGATTTTTTTACCATCCTGTCCAAGAAATTCCAAGTCGGCATCTCCAAATTTAAGCTGTGCATGCTTGGGGATCACTTTATGGGTTTCCAATAAAATTGCTGATTTCCCAACCCTGGATCTCATAAGTTTTGCATGAATATTCCATTGCACAGGCACCTCGGAGAGGGTTTCTGCTTGTTTGGCTCTGACGAGCTTGTAGGAAGTCTTGCAAAAATCATCTTTCTGATCAATCGTTAAACGACATTTGAATCGATCCGATCTTGCTTTTGCTTCAGCTCTGCAGGCATGTAGGCAGTCATGCTCCGTGATCTGGTCAGCCATGAGAAGATCACTCATCTCAGGGAGTTCCAAAGAAACACATGGCATTGCTTCAAACGAAAGAATCCATTTCCACCAAGACGTACCATAACCCTTGGCTTTCAGGATGGTATTCCATTCAACCTTGGCATCCTCAAGAGTTCGGACACATGTCACATCACCTTGTGGGTTCAAAGGCAAGCTCTTCAGGCGTCTGATCAACGATTTGATCCTGCGTGTCTGTCTGACCTTAAGTCTGGTGTTCAGATGAAAAACTTCATCCGACGGAGTAAATCCACCATGGCGATCAGATTTGACAGATGTCTTGCGCTCAGTCTTGCGAAATCTCTTAACACCACATCTACCTTTGAAAGACTGGTGCAAACATTTTTGAGGATACTTCACCGGGTCAATGCTATGTGCTTCCTGTAGGGCCAAATCAACAGCATTTTCAACATTTTTTGACCATATGTGGAAAGCATGCTCAACCTGTCCAACATCGTTTTCACCATCGGGTCTGAACAAGGCATCAAAAGATAGGGGGTGATAATGCTTATCAATCCCATCCATCGGGGGTGAAAAGCAGGCCCATGATTTCGGACAACGCCATAAAGTCTGTTTCTCAGAAGCGCACTGTAATTTGAAGTCAACCAGCAGCGGTGTGTGGACATCAAATTTGTGTTCATCTGGAACCTTCATGTCATGGAGAAGGTCAGCGACCTTGGGGTGCATGAACA